AAAGGTTGCCAAATGTTGTACTTTGGAGGAGAAAGACCTCCAGAACCAGCTTGCTCTCCACCTTGGCTGTTTTCCAAATAACCTCTTGCCTGGATGTTTGGGGTGTGCTTGGGAGAATCCCAGCCCTGGGGCTCTGTTAGTGTGCTCTGCCCTCTCCAGCTGAACTACCCACTGATCCACACACTACCCCTCAGGGTCTCTGTCACCTCACACTTGTATTCACTGAGGCAAGAAAGCACTTTCTTTCTCTCAGGTGCAAGCAGAACAAATGGAAAGATGCTGGGAGAACTAGCAAGATACATAAGCCTTTGACCCTGGACTTCCTTCTTAGCTATGCGGTGTTCTCTCCTACCTTTCCCCAAGTTCAGAAGTGGTGTGGAGGGCCTGGGTGTGTTTTGTATTTTTGAGGAAGTGTTTTATTGGCCCCTAGTGATTTTAAGAGTCTTAGGGATAACTGCCCCCGCTCCTTGGCCACCAAGAGGCCTTGGGGCTCATAAGCAGAGTAGCTCTGTGCCAAGGCACCAATAGTTTTGAAAACAAGGATCTGGGCTTCTCACCAAACCCACTTTCATTTTCCTTCCTCAACTGAAAAGGCCGGTTTTGTTGAACAAAACACAATGGCATGTTCTTGCTTTTTTTGGCCCCAGGCTGCTCTCACTGTTTCCCTGGAGACCAGCCTTCTCCATCCCTGTACTCCTGCCCTGCCCTTCCTTGTCCTATCATACAGCCCTTATTTACATTGAAGGAAAATTGTCTTTTTTGCTCCCAGTCCTCTGCAGAGCAAAAAGACTTGTCGGATTCGGGAGAGGAGCCTCGGGGGGAGGCTGAGGCCCCCCACCATGGCACGGGTCACCCCGAGTCAGCTGGTGAGCATGCCCTAGAACCTTCTGCCCCCGCTAGTACTTCCGCCAGCACTCCTCCGCCTCCCGCTCCTGAAGCCCAGCTTCCTCCTTTCCCGCGAGAACTGGCAGGGGTAAGTCCACATCTACTGGCACTCCTACTGCCCAGGGGGCCCCTTTCCAGTCTGTTCCCTCAGATCTAGGCCCTAGATAACTGTAAGCAGCTGATAGTAACTTAAAAGATGACTAGGATTCCTTCAACTCCCTTTAATTTGTGCTGCTGAAAAGTTAGGGACTTTTATGTGTAGGCTTTTCTAATTGGGGGGCTATAGACCCATAGCAAGGGGTGAATCCTCTTTCCTGGAAAAGACATGAGGGGTTAAGAGAGGAATTGAATGGTGGGGCAGAACTTTCCAAATCAAACTCGACCCTTTCTCCCTCCTTCCATTTTTCTTTTTCCTTTCCCTGAACTTGGGCATACGAGTTCAGTGTCTTAGAAACCCAAGAAGCTAAGGCTTCCTTTGATATGTAGGAACAGGAGTTGTCTAACACAGATTGCTTTGCAAGACTGATTGTTTGGATTGTGGTTAGGCGGTGAACTGCTTGTCTTCGATCAAAGCAGGAAGAAGAAAAGACTCTTCCTTTGAATCCAGAGGGGATCCCTTGAGCCCTTTATCTTTGTATTAAGAAGGCTTTTGAAGATTATAGGTGGAGAAGATTGAAGATTATAGGTGGAACTCTCAAGAACAAGAAATGAAATGTCTTGGGTTTTTGGAGTTTGATAAATTGGGAAAGGTAAACATCATCCTACATTCAGGATTGAAAACTCCATCCTCTAGGTATCTAATGCCAGAAGACCCCTATTCTCATGATAGGGAGAAAGAACTGTTAATAAAACAAAGGGCCCAGCTGTACCATTCTGAGCACCAAGCAGCCTTCCAGGGTAGCACAGTCCCACACCTCAGCCTAGACCTCAACAATTCCTTATGTCACATACTAGTCCTCTGTTTAAGAAAGTTGTAGCCACCACACCCTGAGACACTCAGGAATTGATGTTCAGCGGGGGTAAGTTGAAGTCCTGTTTTAACATTTTGGAAGAATCATAGGAAAAGAGGAAGCAGTCTTTACCATGTGCCAGAGTCTTTGCGAGAAAAGGGAGTAATCCATCATGGCATAGAGTGGTTTAGGGTAGCAAGACATGCTTAGAAGCTAAGGTTTCTAGCCTGAAGGCACTTGCAACACCTCGTGCTAGGAGTATACCCCTCAAATGAGAGTACATGAGCGCTGCTAGGGCAAGAATTAGGAGGTGGTCACTGTTTTTTTTTTTTTTTTTTTTTGACAGAGCAGCTCCCAGAAAGGTCTCTGAAGTTGAGTATTGTGAGTTATGTTTCTTTGGTATTCAAGGGCCCAGGAATGGCATTCTCAAGTCTCTGTTCTTAGCCCTTAAGAACAGATGACCTTCATTTGAATTTACTGAGGAAGGGGCAGGTTTCAGAATGAGAGTAACAAACAGGACAGGTAGACCACAGAGCTTTTGTGACAGCAGCTATTCTTTAAGAGCAATAGGCTCAGCTGGGCACAGTGGCTCACGTCTATAATCCCAGCACTCTGGGAGGCCGAGGTGGGTGGATTACCTGAGCTCATGGGTTTGAGACCAGCCTGAGCAAGAGCAAGACCCTTTCTCTAATAATAGCTGGGTGTTGTGGCAGGCACCTGTAGTCTCAGCTACTTGGAGGCTGAGGCAGGAGAATCGCTTGAGCCTAAGAGTTTGAGGTTGCTGTGAGCTATGATGCCATGGCACTCATCGTGATATGGTGAGACTCTGTCTCAAAAAATAAAATAAAGAGCAACAGGCTATTGTGGAGACATGTGCAGGAAGTTTCCCAAGGGAGCCTCACCTCCCACCCATGCCCAGGCTAGGCATTGCTGTGTGGCCTGGCCAGTCCAGGTGGTGGCTGTGCTATAGAACTCAGCCTCTAGATTCTTACAGACTTTGAGTCAGAAGTTCTAATCCTAAGGGACTTGGCAGTCCCTAAATTGGCAAACAAAAAGTGACACATGATGGCAAAGAGCCTTAAGATGAGTTGTTAAGTCCCATGAAAAAAGGTCAGGATTGAGGGTCTGGTGGGACCAGTTGTAAATGTACCAGCACAGCACTGGGCTGCATGCATGTGACACACATGGACATACTCTCTTGTGTTAGCATTTATAACTTTAGGGAATACAGTATTGGAAGTCCCAGTAGCACCACTGTCACACTGCTTGATGATGGCTCCCAGCCAGCAAAGCTGACTCCCTTGGACTCTGCAGAGAAAATGCTGGCTGGTTGCTAACTTCTCCCATTAATTGGCTTTCTTTGCTGATTGGGCATTCTGAAAGCAAGGGAGAGTCATTGATCAAGTCAGATGAAACTTGATTCCAGCTTCTTCTCAGGCTGAGATTTTTCTTTGGTTAATTTGGCTATTTTCTTTTGCTTCAGAACAAATTGGATCTTGCCCTGTATTGTGTTGGAGTTCAGGAAACAGCCCACACGTTACCCAGTGGGCCTCATCTGTCTTATCTAGTCCATTCTCTTTATTCCACAGTCCCTGGGGGGAAATGTACAGCCAAGAGTTGTTTAAATAGTGATGCACTGAATTGTTGCTTATAAAGGGGCCTTATCATCTTTCATTCTCATCAGAACCCTGGCCGTGGCAGACTTGGTACCAGGAAAAAGTCTATATATATATCAGACTTCCTGGCTCTGAGAAGACAGTTTGAAAAAGACCAAACCACATCCAGATTCAGTTCTCTGTTTGATCCAGAGAAAGCAGGCTGCTCTCAATGATTGCTCCGCACCTAGTGGAATTGCGCAGGGCTGAAGTTCTGTGCCAAGGCACTGCTGAGCTTTGGAACTGTTTATTAGACCTACCAGGAAGCTTAAGAAGATCCTGGGATGAGCCCCTTTGGCTAGATAGCTTCCCTTCATCTCTTAGCTCCGACACAGGGTTTGACCCTCACTGCCCTGCACATTCAGACCTTTGGGGCTGCTTCTCTTTTCCTCTTTTCAGTGCTTGCCTCAGTCACAGAATAAGCAGCACTGAATTTGCCCATAATTTACTTTGCATCCCAGGCATCCAATTTCCTGCAGCCACAACCAGCCAGACTTCCTAACTCATCAGTCCAGGCAGGGATTCATTGGACTGTCCAATTGGTTGCTGCTGTTTTCTAGAAAGAAAATGTGGCCTTGCTTTCTGGTCTTTTCCAAGGGACTGGGTCAGGTAGGCAGTGCTGTTCATTCCTGCTTACTGCCTGTTTGGCCTTGTAATCTGTTGAGTCTGCTTCTGAAACCTGGCCTCCATTCAGCTCTGACTAGCCGGGCACCTTTGTCTTCCTTGGGGCCATCCCAGGCAGCCTCATGGGAGCTGTATGTTTTTTGGTGGGGCAGTTCTTTTTTTTTTTTTTTTTTTTT